ATATATATATACACATAATTTGCGTAATTTTCATTATCGTAACTGCATATTGTTTACATGTTAAACATGTAGTTTCAGTGACATAATTATGAGTTTTCGCCAAATTACTACATGCTGTAAGAAAGATATTGTTACGTCTCCGTTTGTTAATTAACTTTCCGTAACTTCGTTCCGACGAAACTTTAGCGACGCAAGTCCTTACTTAATAAAACTGGTTTATTCTTTCCGAATACAACTTTACGATACACTTATTTTCAACAATCACGCTAAAACAAACGCTATATCAACGCTACGTTTGTTTGTTTGTTTTGAATTTCGCGCAAAGCTACACGAGGGCTATCTGCGCTAGCCGTCCCTAATTTAGCAGTGTAAGACTAGAGGGAAGGCTGCTAGTCATCACCACCCACCGCCAACTCTTGGGCTACTCTTTTACCAACGAAAAGTGGGATTGACCGTCACATTATAACGCCCCCACGGCTGAAAGGGCGAGCATGTTTGGTGTGACGGGGATTCGAACCCGCGACCCTCAGATTGCGAGTCGAGTGCCTTAACCACCTGGCCATGCCGGGCCTTCAACGATACGTCTCTCTCTGACTGCAGATCAATTACACACTGTCTACACACATTACATTATCTTCCCGTCACGTTGTCACCCTCTTTTATATACCAGCTACCCTGTATCTAGTAAATACTAGAGCATTCGCCAAAGTACAGGATAGTTCTAGAAACTAGAGGGCGTGAGAATCACATGATCTCGATGAAGCAACAATATAAAATATTAACGTTTTAATAGGCCTATAAGCGAATATTTTATTATGACTTGGAGTCTGTTCTTTCTTTACGTTTGGATAGTAATTGTTTAAAAGACTCAACAGTAATTTTCAGTGTAAAGGCCAATTAGAGGGATATCACGATAACCAATTTGTTAGTAAAAATAATGTTTGATATACATCTTAACATACGACTTGAAAAGCCTCAAAACTTTTGAGGTGTTTTTTTTTCTTCTTTGGTTTTGGTATTTATTCTCGAACTAAAACATATATACTTATAGACATCATCGGACTACAAACTCAGTATTTTTTTTTGTTAAAAAACAATATTGATTTTCTTTATCCGTAAATTTTATGGATAGTGTTGAACTTCTACTTTTTTCACCACAGTGAACCAACGTTTATATAGATCACTATAGTAAAAAGTGATAATTTAAACACCATTTACGTATTATTTGGATTATTTTGAAAGAAGTTGATACTTGTTTATATGAAGCACTTGGTAACTAACTGTCAGACTTTTTTCGTTATTATATAAAACATAGCATTGATTAAATAGTTAGGGAAATATTTTGGCTAGAATCTCACCTTCTGCAAAATCATGTGAGGTGTTTTCTTATAAACTTTTGTCAAATCTTTACTTGTCCCTTCTTAATATATAAGTATAATAGCAAACTTTAGAGATTTTGAAACAATACTTAATTTCTTGAAAACATGATGAAAATGCTTCAGTAATGTGACAGTAGAGGTCTTATTAAATACAAGTAAAATATCGGTTTTTATTTATGTGTTTACATTCTTCTCTTGAAACTTATTTTTTCACTGGATATTCTCAATAGGTAGCTATGAAAAAATAACTATTGTTACGACTGCGGAAGTCACGTGATTCTGGTAACACGTGATGAGTTTCTAGAAGGATCGGAGAACATCACGAATAATCCAGTATTTGCTAGGCGCCCTCTATTTTAGTATATAAGCCGGCAAATAAAGTGACGGCAATAATTGAATTGCAGACAGGCAGTGATAGAGACGGACAATTGAGTCAAGCGCGGTAGTAAGTAAAGTACGTGAGTCGTTCGTTGTAAATTACAGCGTGTGTTTAAGTTTAGGTGACTGTGGAAATTAAGTGTATTGCAAAGTTGAATTGAGAAAGCATAAACTAGTTTTACTTAAGAAAGGACTTGTATCGCTGAAGTTTCCCGGAAAGAATTTACACCGAAAAATTAACAAACGAACACAGAGACGTAACAAATTGGTGTCAGAAGCGGGATAGAAAAAAAAGAAGACGGAAACGAGAAGTGGCAAATCAAACTACAGCTTAGCAGATTTGATGGCAGCAATACAAGACCAGCAAAAGAAACAAGAAGAACGAGAAAAGAAACAAGAAGAGAGATTACAGCAGCTGTTGGAGAAAAAAGAAAAGAAACAAGAAGAGAGATTACAACAGTTGTTGGAGGAAAAAGAAAAGAAACAAGAAGAGAGATTACAACAGTTGTTGGAGGAAAAAGAAAAGAAACAAGAAGAGAGATTACAACAGTTGTTGGAGGAAAAAGAAAAGAAACAAGAAGAGAGATTACAGCAGTGGCAAGAAAACCTGCAACAAGGGCAGCTTGAACAGCAAGATAAACAAGAGAGGTTACAGCTGTTGTTGGAGGAAAAAGAAAAGAAACAAGAAGGGAGACTACAGCAGTGGTTGTAGGAGAAAGGAAATGAAGAAGAAGAGAGACTACAGCAGTGGTTGTAGGAGAAAGGAAATGAAGAAGAAGAGAGACTACAGCAGTGGTTGGAGGAGAAAGAAAATAAACAAGAAGAAAGTCTCCAACAGTTGAGAGAAAGCCAGAGTACACAAATGGAAAACATTAGTAAATTTCAAAGCGAATTAAATACATTAAAGAATGATTTACTGTCTTTTACACAAGGAAGATATACTAGCCATCGACCTAATCAGACTCAGACAACGGTAAGCCCCTTCCAGAACCCGCAACTAAACCCTAATGCAGACATCTTCAGTCCCGTTAGAAGTCATATCCCAGATATGAATGTCAGCAATAGGGGTTATCTAGTACGAAGAAAGCCACAGGAATTCGATGGGAAAGCACCATGGGAAGCATA